CAAGGAAAACAAATTCCTCCTAAAAACTCCTGTTTTATTGTATCTTGTATGTTAAATAGATAATCTACAGCCTTGAACATAATTTTATTGTGATGGAAACTTGACAAAGAAAAGGATAATCACCTTTATTTACCAAGTATGTTACACACAAGGAATTTGTTTGTGGTACATAACCAATGGCAGCCATCTGCAGCACCACCCCAACTGATGGCTCTAACCATTGGGGGCGACGGGGGGGGGTGTTCAGCATCTTGCACAAGGACACTTCAACACATGGACTGCTGGCACTGAGATTTGAACCTTCAACCTTTGGGTTGGGAGATGACTGCTCTACCCACTGCACCACGGTCACCTCCCCATGTAGATGTTTAACCATGCTACTGTAGTTTCATGGCTCTGTAGGGATGCTGTTGTCACACCATTAATCTTTGGTCCTGACTGAAATATCTCAACAAGATATTTCACTTGTGTTGCAGGAGTAAATAAGGAGTGAGAGAAGTTAGCTAAAGAAAACATTTTTACACCACAATTTGGTTATTAATAATGTGGTTTATTCTTTCTTTTTACATGTATTTTATTACATTATATACTGTATTACATTTTATACATGGCATGTATTTGTCCAATACATAGTTTTAAGATTAAATATCTGCAAAACGATGACATACAGTTTTGCTGTACTTTGCCTTTAATGTTAGCATGCCAGCATATTTACTGAGACTGTGAGCATGGTAAATATTGCACCTAAATGCTGGCATTGCCTTAGTAAGATGTCACCATGATGACATTAACATTTAAAGTTAGCTACTGTAGAAGCACCGCTATGCCTATGTGTGGCCTTGAAGAGCTGCTAGCATCGCTGTAGACTTAGTCTCAGTTACTGTGGAGTTCATCATGTTGCTTTACTTCTGTCACTTTTTCTGTTAGATTTTTGCCTATATGTTTAAACTTCTGTGAGACACATCAACATGTGTCAGAAAACCTCAACCTTATGGTATTTAAAATTGTGCTAACAGCATAAACAAAAAACTGCTCACCACATATAATGTCCTTTTAATTTCACTCTATACCTCATGTTCTCTTTATGTATTAGTGTAAGTGGCAGAGTATGGTTCCCACAATGTGGGTGTGGGAGACCAGATGTGTGCCACTGCTTTGTAAAAACAGAAGGAGAGTTTTAGGGGCTCAGATACAGATTGGCTGAGAAAAATCCCAGAGCTGCTTCATAAGGACCTCTTAGTAGGGGAACACTGTCCTCCTCCTATACTTTCTCCCCTCCTAGGTTTGCCTGATGCTTTGCTGCAGCAATGCTTTCCTTCACTTTCCTTGATCTTGCCAGTGTCTTGTTTCAGAGGATTCTGTTGATTGTTGAAAGTGCTCTAGTTGCTCTGGCAGTGCAGCATCCACTCTCGGCTCTTGTCTTATTTGTTTCTTCTTTTTTTTTCACCAGCCTTCTTTTATTTAGTCAATGAATCTTCCTTTTCTGCAGCCTGTCTTTGTTCTATTGTGTAGTCTTCAGTTCTTGGCATGGCACAGAACTTTATGAAACTCGGCAGCTTCATGATGTACAGCTTCTTCACTTCTAAATATAAAACATGAAATAAGAATTAGATATTCTTGATAACAACATGCTCTTCAACTCAAATGTGATCAACACAATTAATTTGGTGCAATTGCAAAATTTAGAACCACTAAAGTCCATCTTGTGGAGCGGCAACAAAGAATGTAAATCATTCTGACAGCTGCACTGGTGAGCTGTGTATTCACACAAATCTCTGATATTACCTAAACGGCATGTAACTGCAAGACATGTCCTGTTTCCTCCAATGTGTGGTATGTGTTATCATATACTCTGACTAACAAGTCACATTAACATACAGCATCCACAAAATAACCAAAATAAAGAACGTGTTTTTGGCTTTTAAATGCATTACTCTGTGAGTGTTGTTAAGTACGCTTCATCATCCAAAATATTTTTGTGCCAAACCCAATGGGAGCCATTACTACAAGAAGAATAGTTGCATTGTGCCCAGCAGGAGCATTTCTAAGAAGCCACTTGATGGGATAATTTCAGGATATGAGAATTTCTGCATTCATAGATTTCCTGATGCAAGTACATAACTTCATTCTGAGCCATAAATATAAATGATGTTTCTTGTGACTTTTCACAGTCAGCAGTGTTGCTCACAAATTTATCAACCTTGTCTCAGCTTCAAGTTTTTCTTCTTATCTCTCTGTTCAACATTTACCAGGAGCTGATCAGTAGGTGTAGTTTGTATTATGAAGATAAAACTACATGAGTGTTAAAGGCCAAAAAGGGACAAAGCTGAGGGATTTTGTTTCTTTTGGCAGATTTTCTGTATAGCCCTTCTCTTGTTACACTCCTCCACGATCATCAGAGTTAATTAAAAGTGTCTATGGCTTCACACAATGTTCAAGCCATCTCCAGAAAATGTTCTCACCTCCATGACAGTTTCTATGTCTGTTCTTCCATAAGGGTCCTTTGGCCACTGTTAGAACTTAAACTCAGTTTAATAATCAAGGGAATTAGTGGAGTAAAGTTCAGCTGTGGTGTTCCTTACAACCATTGTGGTGTTGACTCTTCATCATGTTTGAAATGAGTATTGCCTGTGTGTTCAGTCTTCTGTGTGCTATGTGCCCTATGCTCTGCGTTCAATGGGACAACGTGGGATGTTCCACATTGTTCCCTAATTAGTTTCAGATCATGTTCATTAGATAGGAGATTTACTTATCTTATGGTTATCTCATAATGGCCCAATTCCCCCAGGTACACTGATGTCTGGGTGATAAATCATCTCTCTGTCTGCTGTAATTAGACTTTTGAAGTGTCAGATTTTGCTTTCAATGTCTGGAAGCTGAGTTATGCACTGTCACTTAGTCTACATACAGTATGTCTCATAGTCTCCATCAGGCTCATATACGCCCTAATTAATTATGTTTACATTCTGTGTTGAATTTGGAAATGGATTTTAGACTTTTATATTTATGACTAACATATTAGGGTGAATTCATTTCTTGCATTATAAAACCTTGATGGGATGAAAGAAGCAGGCTTTGCCAGGGCATCGTCCCTCAGGTTTAAAACGTGTTCTCTCTGTCACTTTCTCTTAGCCAGCCCTGATATTGGAAATTATTCAGCGTTAGTGTGCGTGGAGATTCGTAGAAGCGGGGTGTTACTCTCCTGCAGCTGGGTTCCACATTCAAATTAGCAGGCACCAAGGTTAGGCTCAGGAGCTGCTGTGAGACTCTCAGAGACTCCTCTTTCACCCGGTCTCTGCTCATTGCCACTCAGTGTAAGGCAACAGGTCATTACAACTGCAATAAATGAAGAAATACAATATGGCTCTTAATTCGACTTTCTTTATCTGAAGATGAATTACTGCTATAGAAGTGTACATACTGGATTACAGCACCACACAAATATAGCAGTGTAATATCGCCTGCTGTTTGAGTTTTACATAGAGAATGTGAGGAATCTGAAAGATTAGATTAGATTGGTTTAAATTTCTGGTTCTCAGACAACACACATTTGTCCGCTTTTTATCGTTAACTGTGAAGCCGTACTCATTACCAGCACAAATGTTCAGGGGACAGGGCAAATTGGCAGTCTCCAGGCAATAGGGTAACACAGCAGATTTAAGATTTCGATCACAACAAATCCATTATTCCACCAGTTTGCAGATACTTACAAAACAATATACTGTAGATGCTGAACTGTTTCTGTTCAGCGGGTCTATGTTGCTATTTCTGAATTTACATGCTAGGCTATTTTTTAACTGAACTTTGATGAGATAACTTTTAAAATTTTACAGTGACAAGGTCACTGTAAAAAATGATCTGAGGTTTTTGCTCTATAATTTGCCAGAGTTTTAGACATAAATACAAAAGTAACTAATTAGTGTGCAACATGTACAGAACACGTCTCTGAGTCTAAAACTGAGTCAATAGTCATTAGACAGAAGCTGAAGAAATATCATGAGGCTTTAGTGTCTCCCAGTGGTCAGATAGGGTAACGCCAGAAATAATTTTATATGCAATGCACAATGTTTATTACAACAAGAGAACAATACTGAAGAGGATGAACCTTAATCTAACTAAGATGGCAATGTGTATACTTTGTAATTACAGTACATTACAAACACATTTGTCTTGACTCCTGTTCACAGTACAACACTTCCACAGTGGACGCACAACAATCAAATGACATGGCTATACAATAAAAATAAAAAGTATCAATATGATGCCAAAACATAAATAATCCACTGACATTACCAGCATACTGTACAAAATGCTAATCTCTCCCCTTATATCAACTGTGTAGTGTTTCAGACAATAAATATTAACAGATGCACTTAAAACATTTTGTGCATTGATAATGAACAGGGACAATGATACAGAGCAACAACACTTGTTTACATCTGAGGCCTCCAGTGTTCATTCTGCTTCTGTAATCAGTGGTCTCATGTTATTACTAACAAAAATAATGCACATGTCATATACTCTACAAAATTCTTGCTTTTCAAATCTGGTTTGCTGCATATGTTTGTACTGCAGCCTCTTTTTATGTTTAACATAAATATCTAACCTTAATTGATCACAAATTGATCAAACCCATTCTGCTCTTTTTTCAGTCTAAAATACTGAGATCCTTCATTCGATCATTTGGTTTACATACTCTAAACAGAAAACTCCATGCTAACTCGTAATGGTTCAGTAAGTAATGCTCACTGAAACGTTCAAATACAGCAACAGGGCTTCTTCTGCTCACTCGAACTGTCTTTACATATGCCACTGCAGCCATCCATTTTCTAAACTGCTTAGCCACAAACGGGGTCACGAGGGGCTGGAGCCAAACCCAGCCAGCTGTGGGCGAGAGACAGGGTACACCCCCGGACAGGTTACCTGTCCATTGCAGGGCTAACACACAGATGAACAACCACTCACACACATAATCACTCCTGTGGGCAATTTTAGAGACACCAATCAATCTATGCTGCATGTCTTTGGACTGTGGGAGGAAGCCGGAGCACCTGGAGAACATGCAAACTCCACACACAAAGGCCCTGGGTTGGCTGGGATTGAACCCAGAACCTTCTCGTTGTGAGCCAACAGCGCTAACCATCGCACCACCGTGCTGCCCCCACTACATCATTTTAAGTAATTTTGATATAATTTTCCTTTTAAAATCAAGTTAGTATACCACATTTACTGTACTATGTACTGTAGCTGCTGTCAAAAAAAACAAAACATTAATACCTCAAAAATTTTTTAACTTCATTACTGGTGACATACTGACTGGCTTTTTTCATTTGTGGTGTACTGTTAGCATTAAACGCCATGTCTGGCTATATGCACTGTATATCACTTTAATCTATGTGATACCAAGAAGATAAATTACTTGCACGGTTCATGACCAAGTTAAACATTGGATTTCGATTTGTCCCTGCTGCCATATGGGGGCAGCAGTGTTCTCCCTGGAGAAGGTTCATATACTATATGAGTCTAGGAAGAGGAGTCCTCCTCCACAGAGTGCAGAGCGTGCCTCTTCAGCAGCGTCTTTAATATCTCCACCTCCCGCTCCGTCTCTTTCAGCTTCCTACGTAGTGTCTCATTGTCTTTGTGGAGTCTTTCATTGTCCTGGGAAAGGCACAGAAGATTTGTATGATGTAGTCAAGTCAAATATTTTCATAAGCACATTTAAGACACCAGGAGTTGACCAAAGTGTACATCAGTTAATACAAAATGGAAAAATACAAAAAAGTAAACATTATACTTGTAAGAAACAAGTATCTAAAAATGACAAATACTAACATAAATATAGGAGGCAAGTATCTAGGCAAAATTTTTAAAAAGCCAGAGAATAAAAATGGGGCTTTAAGTGAGACTTAAACACTTGCAGCGTTGCAGCTGCTTGGATGTGTAATGGTAATCTGTTCCACAACTTGGGACCCATTACTGCAAATACATAATCTCTTCCAAGTCTAGACCTCGGATCGTATCTGGTCGGAGGACCTGAGAGCTCTGCAGGGAGCGAGGAGGTGCAAAAACTCAGACAGGCACAATGGAGCTAACCCATGTATTGCCTTAAAAAACAGCACAAGCTTAAAATTGCTTCTGAATCAAACTGGAAACCAGTGGAGAGTAAGGGAGAAATACAGACTGTGTGCGCTCCCGTTAGGAGCCTAGCAGCAGCATTTTGGCTGAGCTACAAATGGGAGGGTAAGGACTTGTTAATTCCTCTGTAGAAGGATTTACAGTAATCAAGCTGTGATGAGATGAACACATTAATTACTTTTTCAAAATCAGAAAAGGAGAGCAAAGGTTTGACTTGGGCTAACTCAAAGCTAAAAAAAAACCCACTAGATTCAACAGCTGACTTAATTTGCCTGTCAAATATAAATTTGCTGTCAAAAAAACACTCCCAAATTCCTGGCACAAGGTTTACAATAGGAAGTCAACAAAGAAAAACTCTATCTCTCATGAGTGTTGACAGGACCAAATGCCACTATGTCTGTTTTTGTCATTCAGGTTTAGAAAGTTCAAGGACATCCCTGCCTTTAGACAAGCCAATGAAGACTTTAGAATTGTCTGTGCCATACAGCCTCAATGGCAAATATACAGTATGTGAGTATTGGCTACAAAACAGTGAAAAGAGATTTCATACTTGTTAAAAAAAAACCCTAAAGGGAGCATGTGGATTAAAGTACTGTGCAATAGCTATAGGGGAAAATGGGAGCTTGGTCCTGATACTCACTGATTCCAGAGATTCATAGGTGGGTTTGGGCTCTTCCTCTGGTTCTTTAGGCTTTTGCACAACAGAAGCTCTGTTTTCCCACTTGGCACAGTGTCGCTTTTTTCTCTGAGGCACTGGGCTGGGACATGAGGTGAGAATGGGTGCTGCTGGGACTAACAGGGAGGGCTGAAGTCGGCTGGCCTCAGGGGCTGCAGAGGAAAGCTGGGGTCCCTCTGTCTGTGTACCACTATGGACTTTCCGGGGCCTCGAATGGGAGGTGACTGGGGAGTCTGGGCTCCAGTCTTTGCTGTCATCTGGCGGATAGGGGAAAGGACATTCTTCTGAACCCAGAGAGATAGACATGATTAGTAATTATTTCAAATGAGACAAATGGAAAACGCAGATTGTTGATCATAATCCACTTGACTTCACTTCAGCATTTTATAACAATAATGTTTTAAAAGTGAATAAACTCACTATATTTGAGCACTCAATGCAAAATGACTCAGTTGAATATGTTGTAAAACACAAGCCAAATAACCTATAGCACATCTAAAACACTTGAGATTAATCAGCTGAGGGTTTTTAATACAAATGATGTTTTGTGTGACTATCAGTCTGGATATAGAAGCAGAATAATACTACTACTGCTGTGACAAAGGTGGAAAATTACACTACTGTAACTCTGGACAAGAAGCAGGGCTTTGCAGCTTTATTCACTGACTTGTCTAAAGCCTTTGATACTATGGATCATGCTCTACGAAAGCAAAGGTTGCTTAACACAGGGTTGTCAGACCAAGCAGTGGGCTGGTTTACTGATGATTTGAGGTAGGACCCAGTGTGTGAAAGTCAGTGAGCTCAGTTCAGCCTGGCTTACTGTTGGTAATGGAGTGTCCCAAGGTGCTGTGCTTGGCCCACTTTTATTCTTTGTTTATATAAATAATTTATATATTAATGCACATGGAACTTCGACTCCCTGTTATGCTAATGATGAGGCTTTATAAACAGTAGCTGTGTGCCTTGCTCACAGACGCACTTCACAAATTAGTCGAAGTTTAATATTTTTACAGGTGCTGCTCGTTACAGAGAAAACCAAGTTATTATTGTTTTTTATCTCAAGAAAAAATACACCAGACAGCTGATGTGGCAACTCAGTGAAAGAAAATAGATGTTTGGCTTGATGAATGCCTTTTAAGCAACATGTTGAAAACTTTATAAAGGGATTTAGATTGAAGTTAGGGTTTTATTTCAGGCACAATTCATGGTGTATTATTTTTATTTATTTAATTTTTTGTTCTGCATTTGGTGGGAGGGCAGGAAATCATCTGGTTGCTGCCATCTTCTTACTAGCTGTACATGAGTGCACCAGTATATCCTCGTATAATAATATCCAGTGAGAATTTAAGGGTACAGTAAACACTATGGTAAATGATTCATTTACTAATTGAATCTATTTTTATCTCAGTTTAGATTTCTAAATATTGACAACTGTTTTGTAATTTCCTCTTAGCTTACAGTATTTGAGCATCATGCACTGTTACTTGGTTTTTATTTATAGAATTTATATGTCTGTTGTTGTTCTGTCCTGTTTGAATCCTGTGTTGTTCCTGACTTAGCTTCTTGAAAAGGAGGTTGCTAACCTCAGTGGGACTTGTTACATAAACACTAAATAGAATAAATACATTTGAAAAGGGACTGTGTTGATAAAATGGTCTTATACTTGTATAGCGCCTTTCTATGCTTTTACAGCACACTCAAAGCGCTTTCACACATTATTCGGCCATTCACCCAGTCGCACTTCCAAGCACTCACACACCGGTGACATCACCGGGAGCAATTGGGGGTTTAGTGTCTTGCTCAAGGACACCTCGATATGTTGACTGGACAAGCCGGGAATCGGACCGCTAATCCTCCGATTAGGAAACAACCCGCTCTACCTCCTGAGCCACAGCCACCCCCGAAACTAAAGTGTTTTTAAGAGATGCGATGACATGTCAATGCTTATGATTAAAATCAAAAGTCCTTCTGATTTGAATATAGTAGCTTTCTCACAGTAGGTGGGCAGCTTCAGTATTACTGTAAGTGAAACAGTTCCTAATGACAGCTGAAGGGAAATCACCCAAACAGTTGACCCTTATGCTGTTATTACAAGTTATTTTCTTGCTCCTGCAAAGTAATGTAAAATTATCTACAGTAAATACTGACTTTTAAGCTTTTTCTGCACAATGTGACCAGTAGTAATTACAGAAAATAAGATTTCTAGTTGACCTATATCTGACTTAAGAATTCTTAGCCACCAGATGGCACATGTCCTAGAGGTTTAGTGATTATTTCCATGTAGATGCATGTTATTGCCTGTATACTTCATTTGAGACTGTGCATCTGTGGGAACCTGTGTAAGAGGCATATATTTGTACTGAGGGTATGACGAATAATACATGTGCGTGTTTGTGTGTATACAGTGTGTATGTGTATCACTGAGACTGTTTATGCTGGTGATGAACCTCATCTCCCCTAACCCACCCTCTGAGTTACCCATGGTGACGGGTGTGGAGCTTGGTGTTGGACTGTCTGTGGCACTGGTCACTTTGGTGTTCTTCTTGCACTCAAATGCCACCTGATCCTTGCACAGCTTGTGGCAGTTCATCCCACAGTCTGAGTAAACCAAAAGAATGCACAACATGTCAGAACAGGAACTAGCGTTGGTCTAACTTCGACAGACTTGACTTCTACTGGCTTCTCTTTGAACACTGTTTTGCAAATGCAACTCTCGGATCTTTGCATGCTTACTGTGAAGCAAATAAATAGTTCTTTTGAAGGACGGGGGAGGGGAAAAACTGTGGTTCTCACTGCAGACTCTTTTTTTTTGTCGCGTTGCAAGATTCGGCTCGCAAGCTGCAACACAGAAAACCACACTACACCTTCCTAAGATAGTTTCCCTTTACCTGTTGCCCACAAGACACTGCATGCCTCTCCTCAGTATGAACTTTAAGCATGATACAGACGTACCTTTGCATCTATACCCTTGCTTGATGACGCCCCACAGCTGTGAAAGAGAGCATGGAGAAAAGTACTCTTCACATGATAGAATATCAACAAGCAAAACCCAAATAAAAAACTGAGTAATTTTAAGACAGTGACATTAAAGCAATTTGTACATTTTGTCTTACACCTTTTTTGTGGGTTTTGTTTGTTTGTGTGTTGCCTTACAAATCCTGAGCAGTTGTCACAGAAGGTCGGTTTCATATAAGTGGTCTCCTGGAAGTTGTGGACAAATCCGAGGCCCAGTTTGGAGCAGATGACACTGGCCCGCATGAAATAGGCTGTGATTTCCTCTCTGCTGACGAGGCCTTGCCTTGACAATCCAACAGATATGCGGTATCGTTAAACAGAGGTGTATTTATGCACGTAACACATTTAAATAAGACAGTTTCAGATCTTAATGTCATACATTACATTTGGTAATGTCTGGCTTGATATATTTGAGTACACCCATTCATCTGTGTTAACAATTTATACCATTTTGTCATTGTGTAATGTGAAAACATGGTCATATTAACTGTGGTGGTTTTCATTTGTAGGTCTAAATTAGCAATCACATGCTCCTCTGTGGGTTGTGAGTATCATGTACCACTGGGTGTGCATAGGAAACAAAACAGTACTGTAACTATTTATTGGCAGGTGGTTAAGGATAGGTCTGTAGCTATTTTATCTTTCCTGTTGCTGCGTTCATCATTACAAATACCACTTTTGGTTCCTCTCTGAGGTCACAAGTGAACTCAGAGCAAGTGTGTGACCTGTCAGACACTTACTTCTCTTTGTCCATGACACAGAAGGAAAAAGGAAAGCTTGCAGCAATTTTCTCAAAGTCCTCTTGAGAAATGAAGCCGTTCTCGTCGTGATCGTAGTTCTTAAACACGGACTGTAAAAGACATGAGGGAAACACCATTGTCACTCAACTATGAATGAACAATAGTTGCAAGGGCATGCTGTCAAAGTGACAGCATGCAAAAGGATAGTTCAAATAGATTATTATGGTTATATAACAAGTATTACTGAGTAGCTATGCAGATGCTGCACTTTAAAATGGAAGCACTTACATCCACCATTCTCTGCACATGTTTGCTGATGGTTCGGGGGTCTGGTTTAGGAGCTACTCCTGATGCCCAGTCCACAACCACTGGAGGTCTAGAAGGAGTGGCTGGCTGATTTTTAAAAAAATAAAAAATAAATAAAAACAAGCCTGAGCTCGCAGTTGTTGTATTTCAAATTTACATAAACATTTTGGGAAATATGCTTATTTGCTGTCTTATGGAGAGTTAAATGAGAATACTGATTTTTACTCACATGTTTCCATCAGCATGTGACTGGAGCCAGTAGCTGGTTAGCTAGGCTTAAACGATAAGGTTGGCCATTTCTGTATTAACAGGATTTTCAACACTTCCCATACAGTGAATTACCTCTATTCACAGTTAATGTATGTCAGGCTTAGTTTGTCATGATTCTGTCCCATTGGTTTCCATTCTCATGCTTTTATTTTGACATTACTTTCTGTTTCAGTTTCACCTTACTTTCGGACTATTTACTTTAATCACTGGTTATTGTTTACACCTGTTTTCACCCCGTTATAGGCAGTTTCCCCCCCCACCGGGAAGCTGTCAGATCATACTAAACCCATGTTCGGACTTTCCAGTGTTTTTTTCTTGTGTCTGTTTTTCTAGGTCTGACCCCGGATCGACCTGATTATGTTTTCTGGACTCCTGCATTGTGTTCTGTTGTTTGTGACCTGCACCTCAGTAAAGAGATCGTTTTCTGCTTTACCTCGTCTGGCAATATAATTGATTTCACCCATGACATTATCAGTGGCCTTACATGCCAATTCCTGACATAGTTGTTGTTCAAAAACTATTAAACACACATCAGTGAGGCAACCCCATAGCTGAGTGGTTATGTTGTGGCACACCACTTACCCCAGGCAACATACATGACATTTGTCGTAGGTGTCTGCCCTGTTTCCTGTCCACCTCTCCATGACTAACTTAATAAATATAGGCTTCACATCAGTGAAGCACACCACTGCAGTTGGTGACATTTTCTTTCATTACAAAACACCAGACCTGCATATTTGTTTGAAAACATTGCCCCAGAAGCTCCAAACATCCATAACCTTTAAAAGTATCTGAAATAGAGCATGGATTAGGCCACATATTTCTGTCCGATCCCAACCTGTGCCCGAGTGTGGCGTCCAAACCCGACCTGAACCCGACGAGCTGATTCTATATAATGTTCAAACTTGAAGCCCAACAGTACCTGACGGGACTCGTAGGGCTCAGTTCACACTCTAGTCTGAATTAGAAAGACCCAACTGTGCATGTGTGAGAGCTCAGCGAAAGTGCGAGGAGCTAGGAAACTGTAAATAAAGCAGAGAGTTCGCATTGCTGGTTTTAGTCTCTGTATGGAGATTGTTGAAAATATTATTAATACAGAAAATGACCAGCCTCATCCCTTATGTTCATTTCTACATATCAAATATTTGTCTCATTTACAGCAGTTATGTTCGTGGGTCAATTTGACCCGCAACATAACAGGAGGGTTAATGCAAGGAGTGGAAACTTGGGAAATTAGCTGGTGGGACCCAAAATGTCAAACAGTGCCAGCTTTTTAAAAAATATTGCTTGACTCTTAGCTTGTTAAAAGGCTCACTTTTTTTTTTTGAGATAAGCTAACATTAAACAGCTGTTAGCTATAGCTTTATATTTACCATACTGACAAATATGAGTCAGTCATCTCATCTAACTTTTTACATTAAATTTAATAATAATTTTTCCAAAAATGCCAAACTATTGCCTAAATGCAGCTGGTATTGAAAACTGGTGTTCACTTAAAGTGTCTCTGCTTCAATCACTCACCGGTGCTCTACAGTTCTTGGGTTCCCTGGCATAAGATAGTTCATAGATCTCATCCTCTGTGTAGTAAAGGTCCAAGGACAGCTGAAGGGAAATTAGTGAACATGTCAGCACATGAGTTGTAAACAGAGAGCTCTCAGCACCTCTAGATTTCTCTTGAGTGCAAATTTAGGTCACAGGCTATTATCTCTTCATGGGCATTCTGTTGTTCAAATATGATTAAAGCGCAGCACACAGATAACACAACAATACAGCAATGTGAACTCTCTCTCATTCACACTCAGTTCGTCACCCACACACTCATAGATCATACTCTCATCACACCCACATAAGTGCAAACAATACACATGCTGTGACACGCTCATTTGTATCTGTGCTTGCGTCCAGTATAATGTAGTGAATCATATGAAGGTACATAACAATTTTAAAAGAATCTGAATAGAAAGGTGCGCTACCGTCAACAGATGGACCAGATCCTTGTTAGCATCCAGTCTGGGTGGGATCTGCTGAAGCTGGATCAGCTCATTAATGTGGGTGTAGAGTGCCTGGAGCTTCTGTACATTGACCTTGTTGTCCTCTATGTAGTCTGACATGGCCTCATTAACCGAAATGAGGTCTTTCAGGTGGACACCCAGTATGGGGATTTTAAAGCCTGTACACCTGTTGTAAGCTTGTCTATAGTTGTCAAAGTTTCTGCAGGAGGACAGTAGGTCTGTCATCTCATTCAGCACCTGGGGAGTCAACAGATATTTTTGTAATGAATAATATGAGAATGTCTTGATCCCTGGTTTATAAGTCATGTGGGTCTTATGTGGTTCATTATCCTTCACCTTAGTGACTTCGCTGGGTACGTGTGAGGTCGTGTCTTTCAGTCTGGAAATCGAGCTGTGACAAAGGCCTCCTACCACTGCCATTAGTGTATTGTAGTTGTGCATAAGATGTAGACTCTGGTGGACACACACAGTCCATCCACACACACATAAACACAGAATTAAACTTGTTCCAGGTAGCCCCGGTTATATAATTCACAACACTGCTGTTACATAAACCATTTATATTGTTGGCTTTTTCTTACTGTGTTCTGATATCTCACTCCTTTTTGGAAGTGCTTTCCCCTCTCTTTTCAGTTCTCTAATTCATGCTGTCACTGGAGCATTATGGTGTGAAATTCGTTTCCACACCCGTGGGTTTTGAGTCTGACAGCAGTGAGCAGCAGCAGACTGGTGCATTAGTGATACAGTGCAAAAGGTCCTCCAGAGTACAAGGCTATCTAACGGCTCCCTGAAGCCAGCGCATCACTTCTCAGCAGGCCTCATACAGCTTTGTATTAACAAGCAAGGCCTGATGAACAACTACACTCATCAGTCATTTCTCTCTTTTCCACTTCCACAATCTCCTCAGTATGTATGTTCCACTTGATGACTTGCATTCACATTAATATTATTTTAATGGTAAAATCTTTGGATACGCTCAAAACCTGAAGCAGAGCTCTTGAGAATTATTACTAGCTCTCTGTATACATGCATTACACACCTTCCAATTATGTAGCATAGTGTTGTAGAGTGTGACCATAGTCTGTCATTAGGTAGATAAGGTGTGTAAACAATAGAGCACCAATGCAAGCAAAGAGGAAAAGTGTCAGGTATAGTTTTTATTTCTTTCTTTTTTTTGGTTAAGCAGGAACAGAAACTGTGAGAGTAGCAGTAGGGGGCTGATTTAACCACTACCTGTGCCACATGGATAAACTTGGTGAAAACCTCAGCTCTCAGCTGAGCAGTTGGCCGGCTCAGCACCATCAGTTGAACCCACTGGGAGACACCATTACACAGGGCGATGGAACGCTCCATCACGGGGATATCCTTCATGCAGCAGTTGCGAATGTAATTCTGATAGTCTACAAACTGGCAGTGAGAGAGCAGACACAGGAGCGTAAACTGCTGCACGGAAACTGCAAGGCATTCCCCGTGGGTAGGAAATACCACATGGTTTTTAGTTCATGAAAAAAGCATGCCAAATAAACAAATCATTCCTGTGCCAAAGATAGCCTACTGTACATACACTTATATTGTCTTTTGGGACGACATGAGTATGCATACTCACTGATATCCTGCAAAAGGCTTTAAACTCCAGGAAGGTAAGGTGCTCAGCCAGCTCAAAGGGCTCCAGATGATCAAAAAGAAGTGAGACCTTTCTCTTTTTACTGCTGTTAGCTTTGATTTTCTGACTGGCCTTCCACGACCAGTCGCGTTCATTTCTAAAACACACCATGTAGCAGAATATCACCGCCCTGTCTATGAGCAAAGCTTTAAAAAGAAATGTGATATATTACATTTTCCATTTTATATAATGATTCAGCCAAAAATTGCTCACATTGAATTTAAATAAAACTGTATGACTTAGTCAATTAATTAATTAGTCGACTGACAGATGTTTATTAGCAACAATTTTGAAAATCATTTTCATTTTTAAGTCAATTAAGTTCTGTTAAAATAATTTAAAGCCCACCTTCAACACTGCAGTGACTCCTACTTTTCATATATCAATTTTGCAATTGTGTTTCAGTCCTTCTCTGATAGAAAATGGAATATCTTTGGATTTTGGACATTTTCTGCCATCTTATATACAAAAAATAATTGAGAATACAATGGCCAGATCAGTGTATGGTGAAAATACTGGTTAGCCACAGCCCCATTCTGAATGTTTCACCTAATACTGTTTTGTCAAATGTGACATTCACTGACCGGCCACCTGTACAACTGTAAGCAATTCAATGCAACACTTCGACCTTAACATCTCAGTTTATGAAGCTCAAAATGTTTCAGTTTTTGGTGAAATTTTTATAAATATACAAATTTAATTATATGTTTATTATTGAGGTCATAGTTAAAGGTAGTGTTGTACTGGACTACATTTTATTCAGAGGTGTTCCTAATATTCTGACCCTCTCATGCATGTGGCTGGGGAGGACAAAACTATAGACACACCTCTAAACAGAAGTTAAAGTGGAAGTGTTGCATTGAAGTACATACAATTGTACAGGTGGACCCAATAAAGTGGCTGGTGAGTGTACAATGCACTGTAACAAGTAAAATGTAGTATATAGTATGTGTAGTACATATGTGATGTCAGTGCAAGAAAACAAAAGTTCCAACTTTGAAGCTACTTTAACAGCCTCAGTGTTATATTGTTCACAGTTGAAAGTCTGTATTCTTGATCGTGACTGATCACAGTACTTTCCATGACAGAATAAACAACTGAGAGTCATGTAGGCCCAATGTCGCAGTCGCCAGCTGGTCAGAGATTAACACTTACATCCATTTGGTCTCTAGGAGAGAGCAAAGACATTCTTGTCCCTGCTCTCTGATAAGCTCCCGGAACTGGTCCAGACTGTCTGACAAGTTGTGGTGCAACCGAAACATTATCCAGAATTCCTGGATCCAGTGCCTGGAGGTCAGAGATGAGACAGTGTAACTTATACAAAACAAACTGTTAAAGTTAATCTCTGAAAACAGCATAACTCTGAAGCTGACCTGATAAGGTAGCATATCCTCTGGCACTCTGTTGGCTTCTCATTGTCCAGCGCTGTTTTGAATGTATGGGCTTTGGCTAAGAAACTATTGATGATGACTGATTATTAACTGGAGTGCGCTTTTATTGTCTGAAAGTTAAAGACGAGCCTCATATCAAGAGTCAGCATTGTTTCCGGTTTAGCAACACTTTAAGTGAAGCAATCTCACCAGTAAAGTTGATGGTCTTCAGTGTCATTCAAGACAGGTTTGTTACGAGTAACCATATGGCTGATTAGACTGCAGAGTTTATTCCTTGCGAACAACTCATTAATGAAAACGACAGCAACTAAACTAAAAGGCAAACAGAAGTGACATTTGGTAATGTGGGAGGAGGCAACTGCTGAAGCAAAATTCTGAGTATCACTGAATGAATCATTCTGGCCTACAGAAGAATACAAATGTAAAATTAAAATATACAATCAATACCTCATATTCTAGAACAACTGCTGATTAATGTGCACTGCTTAGTGGCAGGACTCTAAGGATGTTTTAATCAATGTCATCAGCCAGAAGATCATATTTCATTACTATGGTCACTCTGCCCTCCATTTTGCACATGCTGGCCACAAAAACACTGGAATTTATATACAGTACATGTAGCAGCTTTTATAAATATATTGACACTATGGCTCTGATTTGGCAGAAATCAGCTTGAAGTGATGCAAAAAATAAGGCTGGCTGCATCATGGGAGGGGAAGAACTGCCCACACAATCCCAAGGCCAAACCATATTGAAGGCTGTTAATGGCCCCTATGCCTCTTCCCTGATCCTAACCAACACACTGAATGTATTCGATGTATCCTTTGGGTTCTTCGGCTTAGAGCACACGAGTTAAAAATAGCAGAGGGGCCGTTCGGGATTGTGCAGTATGATGTGGATTTGTGTGAGCAGGGGCCTCTTTAAGCAATAGAGGGTCTGTGCTTATATATAGTTTTAGAGGACTCGTATGTGAAAGAGGCAGATGTAATTAGCACCTGAAACCCCAAGGCTGCTCTGTGGGCCAGTGAGCTCCTCTGAAAGGTTTTGTGACGCCACTGCTGTTTCCTGAATGGTAGGGTACATTATAGGCCCTCCACTCAAGTCACAAGACAGTACAAAAAAAAGAAAGGAGAAAAAAGCTTTTTTATAGGTGTGAAATGGGGAAGATGAAAGACAGAATCAAATATTTTGAAATAGACCACATAGACTCCCTGTTATTGAATGCAAAGAATACAGAGCAAAGAGTGAGCGAAATTTACTCAGTGCCACTGCAAAATATGCCAGATAATGTAAAAGCGACTGACCGCAGGAGTAAACACAAACTGCCACTTTCCTACCAGATTTTACGCCGACAGCTATGGGCTGCACTGTAAGACAAGTATGAGCTTGACTGCCTGTTGCTGTTGACAACCACACGAAAGTAGCACACAGAGAGCTAGTGATCTGATCCTACATTACGTTTGCTGCTCGGAATTGACCGCTGCATCGATTAAACCATCAGGCTGAGTGTGACTGCAGTTATAGCTTTATCAAGGGCTTGCTGAAGGATATAGAGCGACGAGTTTGTCTAGCAGATCACCAGAGGAGATGAGGAGACGGTGCATGGTCAGGGTGATGTTCAACAGGTGGCTGCTCCCACATACACAACCATCTGAGTCTGCAAGACAAAATTACTTGAGTGTGCCATCACTGAAAACTGAAGGTCCTGCAAGATAAGACGGCATCCCCTTAAAGTAAAAGTTGCATTAGTGAAATGCAAAAAGGTTTTCCCTGGCTACATGATCTGTTACATCTGACATAACATAATTGTGTTTTTTAGGGGTGTTTTAATGTGCACTCATGACTGAGCTGATTATGCTAATCTGTCCGGCTAGAAAATGTGTGCACCTCTTCCATCAAAATGTGGAAGAAACATGGGAAAACGTGTGAATATTGTACATTAAATGGCCAGTTGACGTACTGTGTGTTTGGTTTAAAGTTTTATTTAAATCATAGGAAAGCATATAATTTCACAAATTAGACTGCGGTTTGGAAAGAACTGCTGTATATCAACAATAGAGCTGTAACTATTAGGTGATTACTAGATCAATTACAAATTAATCAAGAATTTTGGTAATCAGCCAGTTTAAGTTCACAAAGTTACGTTTGTCAAATGTAAATATTTGCAATTTATAACTGATAAGTGAATATTGAGACATTGAAAAATCTCAAATTAAACTCTAAAAGTGTGATTGCAATTGTCAGACATTTTATAGATTTTTACTACTTTTACTCAAAAAATAGTTGATTAATCCATTATGAAAATAATCATGTAGCCCTAATTATGCAGAAAGGTTGCTCATCTTTGTCTTACTTTGAACCAAAACAGACCTAATAGTGAATATTTTAATGAGGATTTTCAGGTTAAGACCGATCATTTCCTTTATTAACAGTATTTTCAGCACTCTCCATACAGAGACTATGATTTGCCTCTACTCACTGTTAAAATCTGTTGATCTGTCAGTTTATTCGCCTGTGCCATAGACCTCCACTGATGTTCAAAAAACTATTAAGAAGACATCAGTGAAACATACCACTGCACTGGGTGACATGCTTCATCATTATGAAACACCAGACCTACTTTTTTTTTTACGTTGCTCCAAAGGCTCTGAATGGCCATAACGTTTTACAACATCTTCAGTAAGCAAGATTCAACTGTGCAGGCATGAGATCTCTGGATATTTTTAACAAATATTAGGGTCTTGTGTTGTGTAATGAAGAAACATGTTGCCAAGTGCAGTGGTGTGTTTCCCTGATGTCTTCTTAATAGTTTTTTGAACATCAGTGGAGGTCTATGGCAAAGACGAGCCGATACAAGACTGACAGACATTAATCATGAGTAGAGGCAATGTGCTGTTGGTTTTAGTTTCTGTATGGGGAGTGTTGAAAGTACTGTTAATATAGAAAAGACTGTCCTTCTCCTCATCCTTAGCAAGTTTAAACTTTGATAACAAAAGTGATTGTATTGTATTAAATAGCCTATTGCATGAAGACAAGTAAAGTAACATAACTGTATAAACCTCTAGTATTTTCTGAAACTCGTAACAGATTCTCCCATCAGCGGACAAGAGTAAGGTTGAGTGGTGCACACACTATATTACGTTTTGTCATACTATCCACAGACCTTGCTTCTAAAGATTTGCCTTTTCCTCTGATTGTGTGAACCTCTGCAGCTTGCTTGTCTCTCTACCTTTTTGCTTCCTCTCCACTTGCATATATCTCACTTCCTCTCATTGTGACCAGACCACCTTCCCTTCTAATGCCAGAATGCCAGATCCAACCTACTGTGTAAATGCAAAAAAGAGAAACTCTTGCTTACAGTATATACAATACATATTTCAGTGAGACTAAACCCATTGCAACATTGATGATGCAGAATTACCAGTTGACATTAAGAGGAAGAGCATTTGATTGCACCTTTAAAGATATTCTTTATATAACATTTTAGACTGTATTTTCTTCCTCCCACAATCTGTAAAGAATGAACACATCATGCTGAAAATTTGAAGAACACATTTGTGAACTGTCAAGCAGAGTATTGTTTCCCTTTATGTTTCACCAACATTTTAACAGCATCAAGGACATCAGGCATCTAAGGACCCAGTTTTAAACCATATCACCTTGGAAATACCTTGGACGCCATGGCAACATGTTTTCTAATCTTTGTTATCTGTAAGCAACTCACCACTCCAGCCGCAGCTGACTAATCCAGCCCTCATATCCTGCATGAGGTGTGTTTCTGTTTGTAACACACAGCCACTGCCGGCTAAATCCAGTTCATGTCAGTGAAGTCAAGTCAATAAGAGCGTAAAAAAAGACAAGTCAAGCAAAAACACTTTGGTGCAGTTAAGAGACGTATAAAACACTTATTCTGCCAACTTCATTTTCACGACATTTGTGGTACACTAGTGTAAGCTCTATGTCTAGCTTACTTAAATGATCACTTTTCAGTCCTGTTTTAGTTCATGATCTGCTAACAGTCGGCTGTGAACAAATGCACAACAGGAAGTCATGACTCCCCATTAGGTAAACAACTGCTTCATCCTTTTTTTCACAGCTTTCCAACCACAAACCCTCCCCATGCAGGGTTAATTGCAGAAGGAAATCCCCTTTGGACTATCTGTTAGTGACTAGAAAATTAGGAACACTGCCACTCGCTACACTGGAACGGCACAATACTGTATGGTGATAAACACAGCCGAGGGCACACAGTGCCTGGCCTGCTTTTAGGGTTATCGCAGGCATTCATCAACCGCACCAGACCTGTGTATCGCGCTTACTTGTTCTGACAGAAGCTATCAGACTGGACGATGTCTGTGTTTCAGAAGAATCCAAGTCAAATGGATGATGTTATCTCTCCTTAGTCTGTGCAAGCTCACTGTACATTTATGGATAAAACGGTTCAATTTATAGTTTAGAGCGGTGATTCCCAAGCAGCAGTACAGGGGTACATCAAAAACTGTTGAGTAGCTTAACAAATTTGATCAAATAGAAAGTATGAGTTGATTAAAAATGTGTATATATAAACTCCTGAACACCACATGATGCATATGAGACTTAGTTAAAAGTAACAGATAAAAGAAAATATAAAGCTAAAAATAATGGATGCATAGTTAAACTGAAGGGATATGTTATTAAAGATAATAACAAAAAGTGAAGAATAAATAAATGAAACAGTTGAGGAGAATAAGTTGAAACAGCTAAAAGTAACATATTAAAAATAGCTTAAAGTGACAAAAATAGTACAATATATAAACAGTTGAAATAGTTATAATTAATGGATAAATGGAAGAAAATGTAAGCAAAAGCTGATCTAATTGTTGAAGCCAGCTTCTAGTACAAATGTAGCATCAACAGCTGTGTAAAACTATAACATCTACTATTATAGCAACCGTTGTATCATTACTAGTTAAATAATATCAAATTTAGGTACCTGAGATAGTATCAGTGAAGAAGTACTTGAGCTCATCTGACACGACTTAGGTGGTACACCAGACAAAGAAAAGGTTGAGAACCAGTGCTGAGCGTGAGGGCTGTCACTCAGGCCATTAGAAAACTCACTGATAGGCTCTATTATTTTGAAGCTTCTTGATTTGCACACAGTTTAAGAAGCAAATTTTATAAGTGGCATCTAATAAAAGTGAAAAGCCTGCATGAATTAAAATATAAATAGTGCATATAAAAATATCAAACTGTATGTGGTTGACACTGGGCATGTTCAGAACATGCAGCACCGGTTGGTACAGTAAAGTCTCAACTGAGTGATGATCCACACCTCATAGTTCTTTGCTTTTCAAAGGCTGGTCAGCATCTGAGGACCACTGTTTGGGGAGCTGACCTTTTGGCTCAGCCAGGCTTAAAGCGACCATCAGGTAATCCTTCAAATAGCTGTTGCGTGCACTCTCACATTTGAAAAGGTGGCAGGACTTATGGGCCTTAGGGGTTCAGCTGTGATGTGGGACAGGAGGAGCAGGATGGCCCTCCATTTTATCAGGAGAAGCGGTTCAAGGAAAACCCCTGTCTGTACTGACAGATACAGTCTTGAACATGTGCATACAGATCTCATATAAAGACACTAAGATCACTTTTTAAAAGGAAGTGTTTGGAGCACTGCATAGTACTGTACTATAAGGTCCCTTAACTCGTTTGATTAATTCTGTTCTTTAGTGAATCTGAATTGAGCAAAAGGCTGTTGTTACCTCTGTGCTGATAAATGTAGTTATGAGATGTCATTTTATGTGCAGCCCATTGTAACACTTCTCCGTTGCTCTTGCTCCATTTATGTAACCAGGCAACAGCAATTTGAAAGCTTGCCTCTTCAGAGACGCAATCATCACAACTCTGAGAGCACTCCAGACAACTTGATGAAGTCAATGATCTTTGCTTGACTGATCCAACTACAGCCCACAGTCACTGCTGCTTCCTTTATTTAAACCCCCTCTGTTAATCTTGTATCCAGTGAGATATGAATGTTAAAACAGTTATTGGAAATACAGTGCAGCCTATATGCAGAAATGTAAACAATTGTTGACTTAACATTTTAAAATCATACAAAGTAAACACAACAAGGGTACACATCAGTAAGAGTGATTTCATTTTCAAAATATAGAATCCTACATTCATCAAAAAAGAATGCAACTATATTAAAAGAATTTGTTTTACTTTCAAATGCAAAGCATCATGCTCATTTTGTTTAGAGGCCTGTCCAAACTTGTTAGAGATTTGCAGTAAATTACCAGGAAAAGTGATGGGGGAAAGACAGGCTTCTTAGAAACGAGGGCAACGTTCACACATAAACTATGATTTTCAGTGTTTGGGCCTGTAATCTCATTGTTACTCAGTGACAAATGCAAGTACTGCAGAACAGTCTATCTTAAGCTGATCTTAAAAATATTCATAGACTTTCAAGATTTAAAAGTTCAAATGTATTTGTTGCTCCTGTACACGACATAACCGATTTCACCTTGTCAAACTCAACAATAGTGGTACTAAGGCAGGTCAAAATAGACTTACCAAAAGACTGTAGACAGGCCTGGATGAGCTCCTCCCAGCTGGCCCCCTTGGTGAGGTGTCCCAGGGACATTATTGATTTACCTGGGGCAGTCTGGGCCGGGCTCTGTTTGTGGAACCTGTGAGGGCGGCCCGGGGGAGAAACTCTAGACCTGGAGCTGCATCCTGTCACTCTCCTTAAGAAACAGCAACACAGGAGTGAGGAGGAGGAGGGACAGAGGGTTTGTAGCAGTCACAGTGTGTGTTTCTCTGTGTATAATGAGGTATAGTGCTTCATAGTATAGTCTATGTAATTATGTATTTCAAACCATAATCTTAGGAGACCATAGATTAAATGAAATAATTTGTGTATTTCTAACAAAAACTTAGAGCTATAGTTTGAATTTTAAATCCCCCCTGGGAATTTGCTACTCATTGTTCTCATTTCCTTCCTTAACTTAGGGAAATACCGGTTCACTGCTGACATCAGTTTAAATTTTAATTGATTGCGTGGCCAATAAACAAGAACGACCTTGTTTTAGGTATATGCAGTTTAAGTGTAGCAGGTCATAAAAAAACAACGGAGCTGTGGGAAAACCTGTCAACACAAGGCGCCTTTGTGCGTAAAATACTTGGATAGGTTCAATTCCGTTTTACGCAGCGTTTTAGAGCAAATAAGGGCGCGCCTGTTTATTTACAGGTAGACACAGTCATAAAAATAGGTCTAATAGCTGAAATAATCAAGCTCCTGTTGATCCTGTTGCATGCGCATGTTTTCGCCAAAACCACAGCTGTAACTCTTCAGTAAAAACCATGAAAAGCTTATTTGACTTACGCCTCGTCCTTTCCCCTTTCCTCCGACATTATACTTTCGTTTTGGTTGTTTTCTCTTGATTGACATCCCATTGCGAGGTACTGGGCGACAAGCGGCTGAACTAGGCTGTCCATCTGTGTTCTCCTCGATGGGAGCATTTCATCGTTCTGGTCAGCTCAGTGCTCCTCCGCGATCTCAGCAGCATTGTGCTGACTCGTCAATGAACATTACACAATTAAGATTCTCCCAGCCTGTCTTTGAGTGGGCGGCCGCGCTGCCAGACATGTCGCTCACGCACAGTGGGCTCCGTATTTCACCGGTCGTTACTACTTGCTTCTAAACGTATGCTCTTACAGGTTTATAGCTATGCATAACCTAAATCGAATAATTCATTTGGGTTGTTGATGTCTTTCTTGAGATAGGATGCAGCAAAATAAAAAACAGTTAATATATTTTTACTGTCATCTCACTCCCTAGAAACACTAATGATAGCTAAGAATGACAAATTTGATCACATCCAATAATATTCATTAAGAAATCTTATTAGGATTCACAGAAAACCAGGGCTCAGCTGTCCTGGGGATCATTGTCATAAATACATGATGGAAAATCTCTGGGATGTAGGTTAAAACTTGTAACTTTTTAACTTTTTATTTATTCAGTCTGCAGAACAGGAATAGGCGGAGCTTCCTCTAAAAATAATGTGGCGGTAGCTTCCATTATGGCTTATAGTGTGTGAGGGATAGGTGGTCCAGGGAAGATGTTTCCTGAAGTCACTCAACTGTTTTATCAAGTCTGCTGAGTTTTATCACACTCATCTGGGTGGAGAACAAAGCTCTGCCCATGTGCCAACAATAAGGTGGTTAACCTTTGATTTATTAAACACCCAAGGGACATTTAAAAAGCTCTATAGTAACAAAAAATTGCAGGACATAAAAACTATTTCATTTGTTAAATGGCACTTAAATACCTTTTTTCCCTTTCAATTCATGCGGCTTAGTATGGAATATTTTTAAAAGAAAACATCTTCCGTCTTTACAAGAAGTGCTCCTGAGTTCTCACCTGCATATACAGTACAGCAGGCCACAATGTGAGACCCCAATGAATAATGAACTACAAATCAATTTAATCACAGATTTTCCTTTAGCAAAAACTCAGTTTAACTTTCTGGCTTTGCTTTGTCATTTTCCATTTGACCTTAAGTTAGAAGAAGAACTACTATACATCCCAGGATAATGAGTACAGAATAAAATGCATATTGTATGTTCAAGCTGAGACATTCTGTGCACCCTAGAGCATCCCCCCTTTGATTAAATGCCTCCCTGCATGTACCGAACAGATGTGTGAGTTCAGGTATTTCCATGGGTTAGGGTGAAGTCTTTAAATTGTGTGTATTAGCAGCTGGCTACTTATGATAAGATAGCTTGTCTGTACCCTTTTCTTCTCTTATCAGACCAGTCAGTGATACCAGAAGCCTGCCCCATGTGGCTGATCATGTGCCTTAACACTGGGCACAGGATCGCTTATAGAAATGTACCTAAAAATCACATTTTGTATGAATTTTTAATGAATGAGAAAAGAAGCATACACTACATTTTTTGTTTGCAGTTTGTGTTACTTGTATCCATTTTCAATTTTAACCAACAACAAACAAATCCATGATAAGTAAAATTGAAAGGTGAACTATTAAACAAAGGATGTGTAACTCAACTAAAAGAGAAGCACTGTTTCTGACATACTATAAATTTGGGTGGAACATATTTCTACATCTTCTGGTGGCTCTGTTCTCTGTACTTATTACTGAAAATTTCAAGAAACTATTTCAAGTCAACGCGGCATTTAGCTCAAAACCTGAACAGTCGTCGCCCCCTGGTGGACATTTGAGCTATTTGCTATCCTTTTGTAGTCACTGTGCATTAGCTACTGTAGCCTGTAGGTAGAAAGGACTTGGAGCATACATGAGCAGTAACCCACTTTGGCCTCTTTTTTTGTCATTTTGTCTATGCCTATTCATTTCATTTTGTTAAGCAAATATATATAAAATAAAACCCTCCCAAAATGGCATCCTTGTCTCAACATTCAACATGGTGTGACATACCTTCACATTCTCTCTACCTCACGAATTAAAGTTGTTCATATTGTAGAGCAGAACTATCACAGATTGTCTGCAGTATATGAATGACTAATGAAGATAAACTGACTATTCAGCTTCTCTGGCTGACAAAAGTCACCACCAACAAACATTTATTTGTTTGTATTCTATAAACCTTGATAATACAAATACAAACAAATAAAATCACAGTCGCTGCAACTATACAAGAAATTATAGGTTTAAATAAAATGCTATGTTGCTGATCCAAAATTTCAACCAATCAGGTGAGCGCCAGGCGTTTCCCATCATGCTCCGGGCTCTTGCAGCCGATAGAGAGAGGACCTTGATCTCGTGTAAATGTCGTTACCCACGTGAGTGGGTTAGGGTTAGAGAAATTCGTGATTTAGTGGGGTAGAGAATTAACGGCGAGTGTTGTGCACCGGTCCCCTTAGATTTATTGTGCACATAGCTGCCGTATCTCCAACGGCCTGTTAAAATGATTGTGGACGACGTTCAGTTTGTCAGTATTCTTGAAGGAAAACGAGTCAAATTAACCCTCAAGACTGAATCGTACGTTGGTGTCATCCAACGTATAACTCACAAAGCGCTGATTTTGTCGAACGGTTAGCTAAACGTCTATAGTGTTTTGTTTAGGTTGGCTTTTTACAGAACATTGTTAGTAACTGGTTTAGGGCAGAAACGTTTTAGTGTGTAGATGCAGTGACCCTATCGCTCATTTGTGTGTATCGCTTCAGTTGTTTGTTGCAGTAATGGCGGTAAACATCCCGGGTCGACAATGTTCTGTGGGCACGACGTTCGGAAGGGTGAGTTTGTTCATGGCAAACCATAGTTGAAAATATTTAGCCTGGCCTGAATATTTAGAATAATTTTCTTAATGGAAAGCTTTAATATCCAGCCTGACTTTGTGTGGGTGTTTATATATAATTAACGCCAAACCAACAGTGGAATTCATCCACGAACCAGTCGCGGACAGTGGGTAAGTACTGTCACTACTGGTGACAAAGTTCTGTCTAAAGTGTAACAGTGTGGTGTCTAAGTATTTCATGTCTACAGAGGTGAAGACCATTTCACTGTAAAAGAGTGTCAGCTATACAGGGAGACGGCCACATGGGGTAAGTTTAATAATAATCAATAGACATTCTCATTGATTTTCCCTAAGGCTACACTGAATATATACAAACTCATTTAAGCTACAAAATATTGTCTTTTGCAAGAGAATTTTCACTTTTGGGAGGCTAATATTTTTCAGATGATGATGATAAAGAGGAGCACATCAAATTTGTGGTCATCAATGAGTTTCATGAAAAGTTTGGGCCGGCTGTAAGTTCCTTTTCTGTTTAAATCACTTAAATGCTCTTTATGTTTTCAGTATGTACATTTATGTGTGACTTGTTTCTAAAATGTCTTGAGTTGTTATCCTTTATGTTTCATATCTCGTTACCATAGGTTTTAGAAATTCAGAAGCAGCATGTGATTGGTGTGGGAGCTGAGGGAGTTGAAGCATTTAAGCAAGGGAGAATGTGTTGGTTACAGGTGAGGAGTCCTGTGAAACACACACCAAGGTTGATTTCTTCTGCTTTCCCTTCCTTTCCTTCTTGAAACCAATGATGCTGGCTCATTTTCACTTTTTTAGATTGCAACTGAAAACAAGGTATACCTCTTTGATATGCTGTTACTTGGAGCCCAGGCATTTAAGAATGGTCTCTCTATGATCCTGGAAGATAACCGCATACTAAAGGTAAGCAGGGTAAGTGGATTAGAAATCATGTTGCTACATTGATGATTTTTATAACATTTGTGTTGATTTTACACTTGGTACAGGTCATTCATGACTGCAGAGCCATTGCTGGATATCTGATTTCTCAGTTTGGAATAAAGTTAACCAACATCTTTGACACACAGGTAGCTTGCACATTACAGAGGTCAGCGTGACTTGTGTCCTATGCCATGCTTGTAGTTTTTATGTTTTTCTTGTGTTCTCTCTGCATGTGCTAAGGTGGCAGATGTCGTATGCTTTCATTCGGAGACAGGAGGGTTTCTTCCCAATAGAGTTGGTACTCTTGAGCAGGTTGTGAGGCTCCGTCTGAAGGTGCCGTCCTCCCAGCTCTTATTCCTTCAGATGAAGTCCCAGCTCACCAAGGTACTCACCTGCCTAGATGTCCTCAGGGAACAGCAGGAAAGATGTTTTGATTGTTTAGTTGTATGGGTATGTGCTGCAATCACAGGTGTGGGTTTTTACAGGAGGAAAGGAAGGTGTGGTACAAGCGTCCGTGTCCTGTACCTCTGCTGAAGGTGTTGGCTCTGTCAGTAGTCCACCTGAGGCCTCTCAGGCAGGTGCTGCTACACACCTTCATGTCAGATTACATGGCCCTGGTGGATTCATACCTCAGCAGCAGCTACTACGAACCCGATGAACTGGAGCAAATAAACATGGTGGGTAAAAAATAAGCAGACTTTTTTTTTTCTCTTACAGTGCCTTGCGAAAGTATTCGGCCCCCTTGAACTTTGCGACCTTTTGCCACATTTCAGGCTTCAAACATAAAGATATAAAACTGTAATTTTTTGTGAAGAATCAACAACAAGTGGGACACAATCATGAAGTGGAACGAAATTTATTGGATATGTCAAACTTTTTTAACAAATAAAAAACTGAAAAATTGGGCGTGAAAAATTATTCAGCCCCTTTACTTTCAGTGCAGCAAACTCTCTCCAGAAGTTCAGTGAGGATCTCTGAATGATCCAATGTTGACCTAAATGACAAAGGATGATAAATAGAATCCACCTGTGTGGAATCAAGTCTCCGTATAAATGCACCTGCACTGTGATAGTCTCAGAGGT